ACAGACAGCAGGACAGGAATCGTCCCGATGGACAGACAGCAGGACAGATCAGTACCGCTTGCCTCACCAGGAGGAGCCAGAGGAACCCGGTTCTGTTTCCTTCCATAACCTGCAGCCTGATCCGAACAGTTTCAACTGTTCCTTTGAGGAGTTCATGAAAATGTTCCGATTAAAGAGATAGTTCCAACACTTTGAAGTGGACTGTAACACTTAATATCTTACCTGCATCATATAGCTCTTCGGACAGAAACTGTTTAAATCTGAGCCAACTGATGAGCTAAAGGCTGGTCCTACAACCAGTCCAATCTATTACTGACACACCTTCACCTTGACTTTCATGAGGTTCTGTCACAACTACCTGCCACAGCTAGCTGCTGCTGTAAATAACCATTACAGCAGAATAAAACTTTATTTAAAGCAGGATGAGGTGCCCCAAGTCCTGCCTACTTCCATATGGGCATCACATGACCTTTCTTTAAGTCTTAAATATTTAATTATGGCTCAACTTGTTTGAAAATGTAGATTTAAACAAAATGAGGTGGCATAAAGAGCCAAGAGGTAAAAGTTTTACACATAAACTTCTTTGAAAAATCTGAAGTATTCTTTACCAAAGATCAGTCAGAACCAGATCTGCCTTCGATCTGCTGCAGTTAGAAACAAACTTCAGAGAAGATGACAGGACCACAGACCACATCTGCCTGGTCTCCATGGCAACAAGTCTGCGCTGTGCATCTGAACCTGTGTGGTTCTGCAGCATGTTCTCTGACTCGATGGGAACTCGTGTCTGGACTCAGTTCTTCTTCAGGTGTAGCACCCAGTCTGAACCTGAGACCGGGTTCAGACTGTCGGGTTGTTCGGGTCAGAACAGGAAACTGAAAGTTTTAGTGTTTAAACTTTAGCTTATTGATCGTTAAAAAGGAAGAGAAGAAAGTGAGTGAGTGGGCCGAGGCACCAGAGTCTGAGGTGACATCTGTGATGATGTGAGTCTGCACCTGTGGTTACTCCACCCCAGTGGGCGGGGCTTCCAGAGTCTTAGATCCTCCAGTTAACCAGAGGGATGTAGTGGGAAAAAAGTCTGTAGTTGTTCTCTGAAGCCACGCCCCTCCATACCTGCAAACAGGAGTGTGGGAGCTTCGCTCCTTCCAGAGCGGGGGCAGGAGTTAGGCGATCTTACAGTTGGAGCGAGTGCAGTTCTGAGGCGGACTCTGAGGGGGACGGATGGACTTAGAGCGCTTCAGGCTGTTGCCTTTGGAGCCTCCGGCTGGGCTGGCCAGCGAGTAAGAGCGTCCGTGCATCATGACGGCGTTCATCCCATTGGCCATGGAGAACGACTTCAGGTGGGACTTGATGGCGACGGGCAGCGGGAGTTTGTCGATGAGGTGGACTGGCGTGCAGGACACGATGGCCCGGCAGCAGAGGTCCTGCAGGCTGAAGACTGCAGAAGACAGAGGAGACAATGTTAGGAGACAACAGGGTTCTCTGAGGTCCAGACAGAACACAATCGAGAGCTCAGTGTGGAACATGTAAAACCCTAATCAGCTTGGTGAGGAACATGTAGAACACTGCTCAGATGTTCCACACCAATTTGAGCAGGGTTCTCTATGTTCCAAACTGATCTGAACAACAAGCAATGTGTGTTGTGCGTTTCCTTGACTGATGAAGCCTTCTGGATGGAAGGTGAAATGTTTCAGCACAAAAAAAATAACTGTCCAGATGATCTGACTGAAAATTGTTGGGTAGTGAGAGATCAGTTAAGCTTAGTTTCTTTAAACAAAAATATATCAAACACAAATTTAATTTAACAAGCACATTTCTGCCCTTTAAATAAATCAAACTTGTACACTTCTCAGTTTTTCTTCTTCAATTTGAACCATCAGTTTTTTACAGTGCAGTTTTAAGAACTCGTGAACTTGTGGATCCACTTTTGAACGTACACCAGCTGGTGAAATTAAATGCAAACCCCCAAATAAAATTCAGCGCTGTTCGTCTGTTCAAAAATTATCAAGTATTTGCAAATGAACCCCAGATGGTGCAGGCCTGGACGACGCTAGCGAGCGGTGGGGCCAACTACAGTGTAACCCGTTAATTCCAATGAGTCACGGAAAGATGCGAGTACTCTCAACCTCCAAGTATTTTCTGTGTCCGTGTGTGTCACCTCCTGACGTCATGTAGCACGGATCCAGCAAAGCTCAGCACAGACGGTCAGCACGACACGTTCCCGTCTCCCTCATCGCCAGAAATTCTTTCAGGCTTCCCCAGTCACCTGAAGCTCATCTGCTTGCCGGCGTCTCACGCCCACGTCGGTCTGACATCTCAGTATCAGCTGCTGTTGTGAGCCACGGCTTCATGAAGTCCGGATGTGTTTCGTATCGCAGCTAAACAAACTCACATCAATCACTCCAACTCCCACTAAAGTTTAGTCTTTTTTCTTATCGTCTGTCTCTGTTCGCTTTTTTCCTCCCCTACGTCTCCTTCTCTCCTTCTTTTCTTTCCTCTTCTTCCCTCCTCACGCTGCTCCCCCCTCCCCTCAGCCAATCAGCACTTAAAAATGATGGATGTTCATTTAAACATCCAACCACTGAGGGAGAAAAGAATCAATTTTGATTGCTTCACATACAGAGCATGTTTATTCACCATACCTTTCTACCAAAACTATCTTGGCAAAAGAAAATAAAAATAACTATAGGACAGATTACTACATATAGCCGGAACAGCTCAAATCAAAGACAACTGTCAGAAAAATCCTACCAAGGCCCAATCTGTTCAGAAAGTGGTCAAAATAAAGTTCTCACAGTTATGATACATTTCAGCAGGGCTGCATATAAAAATAATTATTTAACACTGTTAATGGTGGTGTTAGTGGTGGTGTTAATGGTGGTGTTAGTGGTGGTGTTAATGTTAGTGAATGGTGGTGTTAGTGGTGGTGTTAATG